TATGACCATGTGGATTGTTTTTTTTTTGACAAATGCCTTGAAAAAATGAACTTTGGTCCCAATTTCAGAAGATGGATAGAAATCCTACACCAAAAAACATCTACTAGAATCCTTATAAATGACAATGTTTCCCCACATTTAACTTACAGATATCGTTCAGACAATATGATCATCTGACTCCCTTTTTGTTCATCATAATTATGGAAGCTCTAGCTGCCAATCTCAGTAAATATAAGGACATAAAAAAAATACAGATCTGATCTATTACAGAAGAAGCAATTTCTATTTGTTTCCTGTTTGCAGATGACCTCTCATTAATGGTGGACGCAAGCATTGAGAATATGGAAGCAATTAAAACACTGTTAAATAAATTTAGTGAATTATGTGACATGAAGGTCGATTGGGGAGATAAAACCCTGGGATGATGGATTCATCATCAAGGGGTTAGACCACCAGAAACCCCTCATATTAAATGGATCCCTAAAGAAACGCTAATCAGAATCCTTGGCATCTCTCTATCATCAGAAGGGAAACCAACGACTAACGATAAAAGTATTATGCAAAATGCCCATTCCAAATTTGAACTATGGAAAAACAAACTTACTTCTATTATGGGTCGCTCTTTAGTGATCAACAACGTAATCCTTGTCTCAACATGGTACAAATCCGCAATATGGGCATTGGATGAACCATCAACTAAATCTCTCCAACAACTGCTCAGAACCTTCCTATGGAGAGGCAACCATGACTACAAGCATGTCATTAGCAGAGTGGCCTGGACTTCCATCATACAACCCAAGTCAGAGGGGGGGTTGGGGATTATCGATCCCCCCACTCAAAATAGGGCTCTATCCATGCAATGGATTAAAAGGTTTCTTTTTAATCCATAGACACCTTGGAGTGTCATGGTATGGGAGCAAATAAGAAGACTACCACCCCCCACTGGGAATGCGGTAGATCCAGCAATGTGGCTAGAAAACCGGACATGCTCAATCCCAAGGAGCACACAAAAAAAACCATACCGCCCAAGAACTTACGGATAAGGAACCGACAAGACAAGACATCAATAAAGACCCATTCTGGATAAAAATCTTCAAGGCGTGGAGAAAAATTCCCTTGCCTGACAAGCAACCCCTCAACAGGTGGGAAGAGATTATTCGACAGCCAATTTTCAACAATGAATGGATCAGAGACTCCCAAGGCTATACTCTACACTGCACAGAGAACCCTTGGAAGGGTTGGATAAAAAAATGTATAATTTGAATAAAAGACATTTAGGACGAAACAACCAGAGACTGGGTTTTTCCTGAAAACCTGCACACCAGGCTTAAATATTGTCATCACGTGAATGAAAGTCTAGACAGGATTGTGAACTTAATCCCTCTAGACTGGATTCAGATCCTCAAAAAAGAAAAGTCGTTGCAGGAAAGGGACTGGGTGGGTATATGGAACAAACCTCATGTAGTGGGAAACATCCTTATCCCCCCCGTCCAGGATTCATTAGTGCTCATATTTTTATTTCTCTTAAAGGAGGATAATTCAGTAACCCATATCCCTGAAAAAAATGACAGAATGGATTCCAAAAGACCAAATTTTCAGAATCAGGGTACTTAAAAAAGATTCCTCATCATGGCTGGCCTTTAGACCAGCGTTCGACATCTCGGATCTCCCATTAGACCCAACAGGCTGGACATGGAATGCTAACAACAAGAAAGGGAGAAATCTCACTCGATCTCTGCACTCCCTATCAGTCAAATCGACCTATCGGATGTTCAGACCTGCAATTAACCTCAAAGACAGAGTTGTAACGAGATGGATGCAGCAGTTAAATCTAAGTAAGGAAGACCTGAGACTAGTTCGCTGGTTCAAAGAGGCAAAATCAAAGTCATCCAAGATTGTCTCGCTGCAGTGGCAAATAGAACATCGTTGCCTCCCCACTAATGATTGGTTGATCAGCAGGTCCTCTCTGGAAAAGAAAGGGTTGGCAGAACCTTGGTGTAAACTCTGTAAATCATCCTTCCCTAGTAGGAAGATCCTAGAGACTTTAAAACATATTTTTCTAGCATGCCCAGACTCCATTTGGTTATGGAGATGGTGGGACCACATCTGGGGACAACTGGAAACATCTCAACCTTGGCCCTCGGGGTGGAAAGTAATTCTGCTAGAAGTCTGGTCCCCGGATCAAATGAACAATTGTACTCAAAACCTATTCACACTGGGAAGAAGAGCAATTATCTTGGCAATCTGGCAAAGAAGATGCACCAACGAATGGGAAAGGGTTAGACTTGATGGCCCAGAATTTACTGACAACATCAAACAACAAGTGCAAAACGACATCCTGGTGCAGTGGGAAAAGCTAAAAGACAAATTATAACACAACTCCTCAAAAGCAGACATCCTTAAAGCAATCAAATCTTTCAGCAGTGACTGGCTCGGGGGAGACAAAGGGGGAAAGATTGGAAGGATAGAATGGAAAGGCGAGATAGGAGACTAGGGGCAAAAATTAAATAGGAATTACAAACTGTTATTCAATAACTGGTCTGAGGTAGATCCCTCCATTCCCCTTCGTTCTATGCTAGACTTCCCAAACCCCTTCCCCCCATCCCCCAATGCTGTTGTCCCATTGTCATGGCATGGCCTGAAGGCCTATGAAGAATCAGATTCTTGAAGGAGCACTTTGCAAGCAAGAGTTAGGCACTATACTGAGCTAGGATTAAAAGAATTCTCATCTGGCGCCCCACTCTGGGTGAAGAGGTTCAAGCCTGAACTCTGTCAGCATTATCAGAATTTTTATTATGAAATGGGACGCTGGACCCGTTTTCCAGCAGGTGCAGCTCCCCACCAATAGATGGAGCGACCAAAGGAAATCATAGTAGGGAGGGATGCTCTTATCACCCTACCTACCATGGTTTCAACGAGTCTTTTAAAAAAGAAAAAGAAAAAAAGAAAAAAAAAGAAGAGTAGATGGCGGATGTTTTGTGATGGCTGAGAAGGCCTGCTCTCCTGGCCAGGCCTTATCGCTGAGAGGAGTGACTCTCTGTGTTTAGAACAGGACACGGGTTGGGGGAACGACAGGGGGAGTTTCTCCTGTGGTGTTGGGACTGTGCCCATTATGCCATGACAGGACCGGCCCGGGGGTGGCTGTAGGATTGCTGGGGGAGCCTCATTTGGTAGTGGAGGCAGTGGAGGTGGGCGGAGGAGCGGAGGAGATTGGGGTAATTGGGGATAAGCGAGGGGGTCGGCCCCTGTTAACAATGGGGGAGGTGGTGGGGATGGTGGAGGGGGCTCATTTGGTAGTGGCTCCTAACTCGTAGGCTGGGTCTACCGGTTAGTTGAAGATGCTGCACACGCGCTGCAACAACCCGGGCCCTTTTCTGCTCATATTGGCCCGTTCTCAGGTCCAGCTGCATTTTGGCAGGCCTGCCTTCTTTTTTTTTTTTTTTGAATTCATATACAGGAAACCTACTTAACGAGGTGATAAGAGCATCCCCGGTAAGTAGGCTCCAGCGTCCAGCTCCATCTATTGGTGGGGAGCTGCACCTACTGGAAATCGGGTCCAGCGTCCCTATACAATGATGTGATTGTATCAGCTGGAAATCGGGTCCAGCATCCCTGCGCAATTATGCGAATGTATCAGCTGGAAACCGGGTCCAGCATCCCGATATCGAGACGTACTGATACCACCTACTACGTACTACCTATGTATGTTCGTTAACCTATACATGTTAGACGATAGGAGAACCCTATCCCACTGATCTACAGTTTCTCAAAAATCGAACTAAGGCATCAAGCCTAATCCTATCACTCAGACCAGGAGACGAAACCCTAGCTATTGATATGGTTTGTGTGAGCTGGAGATATGGTGTATGTGAGCTGGAGATATGGTGTATGTGAGCTGGAGATCAGAACAACCGGAACCAGCGTCTCCAACTAGGGTGTCTTGTGTATCGGCTGGGAATCGGGCTCAGCGTCCCTATGCAGTGGTGTGTGGGTATGAGCGGGGATGCCAGGAAATCCAAACTAGGTTGTAATTCCCCAAAACAGCGAACAGAAATGGAATGGATGTGCTCTGAATCAATAAACCTAAACACGAAATCCTACCTGTGATATGTTGTGTATGATCAGGATCAATCAATCCTAGACATGAAAGTTGAGGAAACCCTATCAGTGATATATGTGATCTGGGCGGCGAGTCCAGCAACCTTTATGCAAAAGAAAGTAAAATCATCCAACTATAAAGAGCAGGGGCATTGATTACTTCCCTACAGAAGGGAAGGATTTACCTCCTGCAAATGGGATGACGGCCTGGCGAGAAGCATCTTTATCATACTGATCTCTATAAGCATCTCCAACCACCATCGACTATCCTACTCCTCCCCTCTGCCAAACAAAAACGTTCAACTTCATATCAAGGTTGGGGGGTGGGTGGATAGTAGACCTATATTTGCAGCCAATCACCGCGCTGATGGCAATCATGGATGCACAAACACCGCTCCCTGCCCCTCTGCTGCCATGATTGCCGCTGCCGTCTTCTTCGTCGTTGTTGCTGCCGTTGTTGTTGTTGTTGTTGTTGTTGTTGTTGTTGTTGTTGTTGTTGTTGTTGTTGTTGATGAGGTTGTTGACACCATCGTTGTTCTCACCCGCCGTGCTGATGGCGATCATGAATGCGCAAACACCCCTCCCTGCCCTGCTTCTGCCGTGGTCGCCGCCCCCATCTTCACTCCCTGCCCCGCTGCTACCATGCACGCCGCCGGCGTCTTCGTCTTCGGCGTCGTTGTTGTTGCTGTTGTTGTTGTTGTTGTTGTTGTTGTTGTTGTTGTTGTTGTATTTTTACAAACTTAGCCCCGCCAGTGTTAGTGGTGCTGATGAGAGTAGACACCACTAGCACCTGGGGATAGGCTCCATCTATTGGTGGGGAGCATCACCTGCTGGAAAATGGGTCCAGCATCCCCTGTACAGACTGAATTTGGAATACATCAGAAAAAACAGTTGTGTGGGGGGGTTCCTGCCAGCATTGATTGCCCTGGGATCCAGGGGATTAACTGAGCAGGATACTGGAAGGGAGGAGGAACCTCTTCACCCTGCAAGCCTGCGCCAGATACCTACTGCTACACACTAGTTCCTCCCCCCCTGCCAACCTCCCACACTCTCTTGCTCAGGATGCTCAGACTGCCAGCATTGACTGCCCCAATGATGTTGTTGTTGTTGATGTACTTGTCGCCTTCGTTGTTCTCTCCTGCCGTGCTGATGGCGATCATGACTGCGCAAACACCACTCCCTGCCCTGCTTCTGCCATGGTCGCCACCCCCATCTTCGTCGTCCTCACCCGCCATGCTGATGGTGGTCATGGACGCACGAACACCACTCCCTGCCCTGCTTCTGCCCTGGTCGCCGCCCCCATCTTCACTCCCTGCCCCGCTGCTGCCATGATCGCTGCCGCCGTCTTCGTCTTCGCCGTTGTTGTTGTTGTTGTTGTTGTTGTTGTTGTCGTTGTTGTTGTTGTTGCTGTTGTTGTTGTTGTTGTTGTTGTTGTTGTTGTTGTTGTTGTTGTTGTTGTTGTTGTTGTTGATGATGTAGTTGTCGCCATCGTTATTCTCTCCTGCCGTGCTGATGGCAATCATGGATGCGCAAACACCACTCCCTGCCCTGCTTCTGCCATGGTCGCCGCCCCCATCTTCGTCATCGTTGTTGTTGTTGTTGTGGTTGATGTTGTTGTCTCTACTGTTGTTGTTGTTGTTGTTGTTGTTGTTGTTGTTGTTGTTGTTATCATGCTTCTCGCCCTGCTCCGTTTCCTGCTCGCTGTCGTCGTTGTTGTTATTGTTGTCACTGTTATCTACCTTCTCACCCTTCTCGCCTATTTCTCCCATGCCCTGCACGCCTTCATTGCTGTTATTGATCTTGCTGTTGGCATCCTTCTCTCAGGCCTGCCTTCACTTGGAGTCGGCAGGATTCTTTCTGGCTTACACGAGGTCCTAAATTCTCGCATATCAGATCTAATGGCTGAAATTTTCCGCATGCCCAGTGAACTGGGCCAGGGCCGAGAAGCGCTCGAAAAGAGGTCAAGAAAGTGCCAGGCAGTAGTATGGCTCAAACTGGCCATGATTTGGGCCACATTCACCTGGTAATACAAGGTGACCATTGGGAAAAAAAAAGGCCTGTCCTGGTGCCTTTTGCCTGGACCACGCCCAAGATATCTCAGCCTCACCTGACGTGCCTGAGTTTTTTGCGGATAAAACTCAGGTGACGATAAGACTCTGAAAATGACTGTGAAAATGAGGGCTGGACCCCACAGGGGAAAATCATGGAAAGAAGTTCTACGAACACTCTGGAAAACGTTTCCTGGACTCCATTGGACAAAGCAGGGCCTCCGGAAAGCCAATTTTTTGAGGATGGGGCAGTTTTCGGGGCCCCACCGCCTGCAAAACGGCCGGAAAACCGGCATTTTGCGTTTTCACGTGATTTTCTGGTTTTCCAGCAGGTGCAGCTCCTCACCAATGGAACGGAGCCATCCAATAGCGGGGAGAGTAGAAGGGGTGTCCGCTCTTACCAGCACCCCTTCCACACCCATTGCCGATGTTTTCTCAAAAAAAAAAAAAAAAAAAAAAACGGAAAACGGAAAAGTGGCATGGGAGGACTTTCCTCCGAAATTTTGTGCCCTTTCTAGAGGGTAGGGGGGGGCATGTCCTTCATTGGAAACTCCCCTGGCTCATTGGCGAAGGGTTACAGACATGTGAGAGAGCTGCGCTGCCCTTGACACGGACATCTAAGGCCTGTCCTGGTCCCTCACAACTTCTCCAGCCTTTCCAAACCCAGAAAAACTGCCTTTTCCAGCCTCAGCCATGGGGCCCCACTTCAAAAAAAAAACTCTTCCAGACGTCCTTTCTCGGAATTCCGAAAATGAACACTTTTTCCAACACTTTTCCTTTTTTTTTTCTTTTTTTTGTCTTTTTCTTTTGAAGTCCAGGGTGTTGTAGAGGCCAGTTACTAGGCACACATTGATTGCCGGAAGCGGTCAGCCGTGGTTGCCCTGAGGAGGTGAGGCCACCTCCCATCCTATCCTCGTGTCAATACTCCTAGCGCATCCCCTATCCCTACTATCCTGTGGGGCCCAACTTCATTTTTGCCGCGGCCATAGTTACCATTTTTTCTTCGTTACATCCACCTCAGAGTGTGCTAAGAGTCTAAAATGAGTAGAGCTCTGGAAGTAGGAAGGGTGATTGATGCAGCCCTGAGGGAAAGTCAGTGCTCCAGGCTAGGAAATGTTTTAAGGCCACAGTTCCAACAATGATACTGCTGAGATGATGTATCAAAGGGACGCTGGACCCGGTTTCAGCAGGTGATGCTCCCCACCAATAGATGGAGCAGCCCGACTGGCAAAGCCTCAATTCCGGTGGTTCTCTTACCACCACCGGGATAGAGACCTTGCACAA